CGGGGGCGCCGCCGTCTCTCGGCTCGGGGGGCGTCCGCGTGGCAGCCCAGAGCTCCGCTTGTGCCCCCGAGGGCCTTCTCGTTGCTCTCGGCTGCGCGTGGGAGGGCTGCCTGTGGGGCCTGCGGTGTCAGGCGACGGGAATGGCGGGGCTCGCGGGTGAAGCCGTGCAGGCCCGTTCCTCTGGGTTGCCCTTTCGGGGGATCTGTTAAAAGACGTCCTCCGAGATTAATGTCCTAAGCTTCGACCCAAACGTGGAATGAAAGAATTTGAAAAGTCTTAGCCTTGTGAAGGGGACCTGAGAGCTGCAGAGGTTTTCTGTGCTGGGTTACTCTTCAGTTTAGATTTTAGTGCCTAAACATCAAGCAACTGCCAGCAGATAATTTGCCTACAGCAGCCCTCCCCAAACTGTGGCCATATCGATGGAGGGGGCCCACAAGTTCCGAAATTCTTAGTCATTGTGGGCAACGAGAGGCGGCTGACTCACCACTACATATTTTGTAAGTGGACCTAAGTGGAATTAGGGCTTCGAGGCCAACGTGTGCGGTTCGAAAGAGGGAAAAATGAGATGCCAGCAGAAGCAGGTGCTGTGTTTAGGAGGAGAACGGTGGACAGGATTCATTTTGGAATATAGTTACTCTGAATGCCCTGTGTTGTAATGGCAGATATGGGGAATATCTGGGCACGAAAGCAGCAGCTGGAAGATGGCTGGAGAGTCAGAGAATAGAATATTTCAGTTCCGTGCAAGATTGTGGTTAGTCTCCTGGGGAGGATCAAGTGAAGTGATCAGAATAGGGCGGTAATTTATATTGGTACAGGAGGAATTTGAAGATTGGATGAGAGAAGTATAGAGATGTGCTGACTTCAAGCCATCAGTTGCTTTGAAAACATGCATGCCTTATATAGTAGGGGACAGTGATTGGGTTCATAAGTCACGCTGTGCTATAATGTAACTTCTTGATTTTGTTTTGGCATGATGGGGAAACCAATTGTGGCTTATTCAAGAAATCATGTTTAAAGTAGACCAGATTATTTACAAAATAACTGTTTGGTTTGCACTAGGCTATAAAAATGAAACCATATTTGCCTTAGCTTATTTTGTCTTGCATCATCCAGGAGGAGATTCCCATGCTTGTAACTTGCAGATCAAGAGTTGTAAATTCCCAATGAGTTGCATACAGGAATTAAGATCTTTGGAAGTCATATAGTTAAGAGGAAGATGACAGCTAGCAAAGTTGTTGTAATATTCTTCTCGGTGGACAGAATCTCAATCTTTGGCATGTAACTATTGTCAACATTAAGTTTAACACAGGAAGTAATAACTAAATAAAGCCACAGAGAAGAGAAATAGCAGTCATGTACTCAGCCAATCCATGTAGTTTCTGTGCTAACCCAAGAGAAAAATCTCTTCTCAAACAAAAATGTAGCGGGTGATGTGGGGAAGGTAATAATCATTTCTTAAAGAGTCAATAAGATATCTGTTAGCTGTGATAGCACTACAGCAATTACATGTGCAGAGATACTACACTTAGGATCAAATGGTGAGGCCAAACTGGACTTCCTTTATTCTCAGCTGGTAAACTTTCTGGAGGCATGCTATTAGTCCCTACTGAAACAAAAGGCTAAATTAAGTGACCCTTAGTCACAAGATTGTCTGCAGGATGTAGTCAAAAAAGTCAAGATGGTGGCCACAGCGGTATGATTGGAGCTCTACCTGTTTGGGTTTTGAACCACTTCCTGAAGACACCCCTGCTTGATCTGACCCTGCAAGACAGTTAGATATAATACCTGAATGGCATATTCGGAGGCAGCCATTCTGGTGGTTTCTGAAACCTGTGACTTCTGAGTTACTCAAGAATAATGTTTTGTAGGTGTTTTAATGGTGAATTATTAAGTTGCCATGAGTCTGTCTAGAGTTGTCAGCATAAACTCCATTGAAAGAAGAAATAGGCTCATACCTTTTTTGAGAACTATTTGAATCAATGGGGAATAATACCCAGTAGGGGTATTCACTGTCAAAATGCTCTTGTAAATGTCAGAGAGAAAACCTTTATTGGCTGGGTTCAGACACCAGTAAATTACAGTTGCTTGTTTATTTAAACCATGGCTCTTACTAAGCACAGTTAGCTGGGTTCACACATGCTAAGTAATAAACTGGTTGGCAAGCTACAGTTGCTAGGTATGCATATTAACCCAAAACGAAACAAACCACTTTAGAGGGGGTAGCGTTATGCATGAACGTGCCACTAAATTTTGGCTCCTGTTGTAAAACTCCCTGGGGAATTAGCTATGTATAGGAAAGGAGAATTCAAGTAATTACATAGTGATGCTTTCAAATCCCTTACCCCTGTGTTTTTAACACCATGTTATTGTCTTTGTTTCTGCTGCTGTTTCTCACTGCCCTGGGTTTGTCGCAAAATGTGGTTAAGTTCCTCTTTCCGGTTCAAAGTCCATCTGATAGCTAGACCAAAGCAGAGGTTGGTTGTGGAATTAAGGAAGGTCCTTGCAGCACCATGTTGAAAGCTGTGATCGTGGAAAGAAATAGTCTGTTCTGCAGCATTTATGTGTTCAGTTGGAAAAGGCACTTTAGAGAAGCTCACCAACAGCTAAGCTTTGACTGAACAATAGAATGTGACTGGCTGGATCCTTCCCTCCCCCAGGTTTCCCTCCCCCTTAAAAAGTCTGCTTTTTTTCAGATACTTATCCTTCAAGTATTCATTCATGATACCTTTGTGTTTGAGAATGATTGTGTGAGAATCACTTTGCATTTTCTAGGTGTAGAGCATAAAAGCTATTTTTCAGAAAAGGCTTGTTGTCAAAGAACAAAAGAGGAGGTCAGTGATACACTGAACTGTTTGATCTCTGTAGGGATTATGCTTTCACTTGTAGGTATATCATGATTAAGTGTAAACGTGGGAAATAGAAGTAGACACTGAAGCCTTTCTGGAAGCCATGCCCTGCACTAGCAATAGTTAAATGTTACATTTGCACTGAGAAATATATGGCTAGGGCAGTATCTAAAGTCTACTGTTTGCAAGTCTCCCTGGCAGTCAGCAAGTCAGTCTTGACTCCTGGCAGTTGTCCAGGCAGTTTTCTTGGCAGCATTTTCAGAACTGGTTTGCCCTTGCCTCCTCTTCCTAGGGCTGAGAGAGAGGGACTGGCCCAAGGTCACCCAGCCAACTTTCATGCCTAAGGCAGGACTAGAACTCACCATCTCCCAACTTCTAGCCCATTGCCTTAACCGCTACACCAAACTGGCTGTCGTAGATATGCTTGGATAGATACATTCACAAATTGATTTGCCTCTTCTTAGACTTTGTGTCACCAGCAATTAAACTGTGCCAAGGCCACAGCCTCCCAGTATAAGGGCAAAGTTTGGTTATGATTGAAAAGTGTGTGGGTACGGTAAAATGCTCCTGTCTGAGGACAGAAAGAAGTTAGGCAAGTTTGACATTCTGAAGCCCAGTGCAGCCTTGCAGCCTGGAAGCTCAGCTGGTAGAAGAAATGAGGCTGTAATTCATACAGGCCAATATGGTATGTAGTAATAGACTTCTGCCTATTCTGTTAAATATATATTTGTTTTAATGAAATGTAGGTAGACAATCTCAAAATTCTTTAAACACAAGGAAATCATGCATGAAAGTGTATTTATATCCATAAAAATGTGCCCTTCAAATTTATGAATTCTAAGCAAGAGTACTTATTAACTGAAACCCACCCTTACTGCATGCTTTTATAGAGTGATTCTGTACTATTCACTTTTCTATCTACTAGTAAAATAAAAATGATAGAGCTTTAGCTTGTGGTTGTCAGAAATGATCATTGATTTTTCTGGTGTCGTGTAGATAATTTTTGCTGCCATGGACAGGGTTTACACGTTATGCAAATCCATAATGTTGTTTATTTGCTTTTGGCTTAATGTGATGTATGAACCCAGCCAATTGTGTGTGGGGTTTTCAACAGTCCAATTCTGCTTGAGGCAATTAAGCTGAAATTTAATCACTGACATGTTTAAAAAAAAACAAAACATGATTTGGTATGTATGTTGCACTCAGCCAAAATATGATTGGATTATTTTTGGTTCAGTACGTTTGAATTCAGCTGCCTTGGGTTGCATGAAATAAAGATGGGATATCATAATCAACTATGGCATAGTACGGTGTTGCGTGCTAAGGCATGAATGGTCCTCAATTGTCTGGGTTCACATATTGCTCCAAGGCAGGGGATGCAACAGAATGCAGCCAACAGCATTTCTTTTGCATTTTGTAGAGTTTCTCCTAAATGAGTAAGACCCAAAACGGTAATTTTTTTTTTTTAAGATTATTTTAGGAGCCTTAGTGGGGATTTTAATAGATGCTTTAAGTCTTGCATAAACTTCCCGAGCTTGTGCAACCCTGCACGAAGCCAGAAACTGTAGTTTACAAATCAAAATGCCTGTGTACATAGAATACACAAAGTCGAAGCCAGACGAGACATGGTGTAGCATAATATTGTTACCCCACCCTCTGTGAGGTTGGTGAGGACATTCTACATTTGGCAAAGCCAAATTTCCCCAAGAATCTTCCATTGCACTACCGAGGTTCTCTGTGAACCATTGAGAAGCTGATCTGTTCTCACTGATCCCTCCCTCCCTTCATTTATGACCTATCTTATCTTCCATTGTACTGGAGATTAGTGAGAAAATTGCTTTGGTTCTAGAAAATCTATCCTAGTTTATTATCCCAGTTTCCTGTGGGAGGATAGAAACCCTAAAGTTGTGTAATCCTCTTACTTTGAGGAAAGACCCCCTTTCCTAACAGCAGATATCCAGTAATTCTGTAAATATTCCATGTTCCTACATGCTCTCCAGTAACCCAGTGAAGTTACGGAAAAGCTTGAGAATGTGTGGAAGCTAAAGCTTAGTGAAAAGCTGAATTTTTCTGAATTCATTAGTGCACCTAGGAGCAGTGGCTTTTCTGCAAAGGGGAAGCCAAAGGGTGTTTTCTGTTCCAGGAATGAGTTTGCATCCTTCCTCTTTGTGGTGGTATATGTGGTGACTGGAAACAAAGTGTTGCTTCAGGCAACTATTGTCTCCTTACTGGCTGGGTGTGCACGGCTCACTAAGCTAGACTAAAATGGGATTGAGTAGCTTGTAGCCAGACATTGTCTTAGTATGCTGTGTGAAGGCACGCATCACACTGAGCTATACTGTGGTTTATTCCTTTGGAGTGCCATCCACAAAATGCCCTCCAAGGGTCTCAACCCAGCAAAGCACCCGTGCTACCCTGATGTAACATATTTTTCTGTAGAGCATGAGATGGCACAGCAGTCTCACTGTGATTAAGGGTGCATAGGCATGAATTGTCACCCCTTGTATCCATTAATAGCTCCCTCGGGTCCTGCTGCTGTCTCTTATAGGAAAGTGCGTCCCACCAAATGCACAGCACATTGTATCTGCTTGGAATTCAAAGTGTGAAAATGTCTGAAATCTTACTAAGAAGGCTCAGGTGGTTCTCGAGGCACAGAGTTGCAGCTGGCGACAGTGGGCCGAAAGTAGTTTTCAGATCTAATGCAATAGAAGGGAACTTTGCTCCTGGGCTAGAGCTGTGATTCATGTTCCAGGCGAGAGCAGTAATTCATTGATCAAATGACTTAACTGATTAAAAAGTAGCTGGCCAGTCCCTCTTGGCATTCCCATATATTAGGGGGTGGATGGGAAGAGGACTATAAAGGACCTCCCATTTATATCTTCCCTGAGGAAAATAGCTTTCAAAACTAAGGTGCCGTAATCCATTATTTAGTATTCCTTGGATAATAAGGTTGAATAGGAAAGCAGACAAGGATGCTTTTGTTATCTTGGACATCTGCTTGTCTTGGCACATGCCCGCCCTAAGCCTAGCATGCTAATTTAGCTAAAGCAGTTGCCCCAATTTGGAAGATGTGCTTTGGATCTCATGTGAGTGCAACATTTCTCTGCTGCTCATTAAAGGAGCCCAACCACGACCTTCTCCCAGCTTTGCTGTGAGCTGGACGAACAACGCTGTTGCTTTAAGGAATCCATTCATTAAGAGAAATCAAATCCTGTAACTATATTCGAATGAACTAAAGATTAAGACTGTTAGAAGTAAAAGGAAGGAATATGAAGTTGGTTTATCTGATCAAGGTTAAAACAAGTTGCATTGTTACTTCTGGCAACCTTTATGGATCTTCTGCTGACACCAGAGCTGAAAAGATGAGTTTAGGGATTTATTTATAGATAAGAGATGGGATATGGGATGAAGAGATAAATGTTTGTAACCATAGAGTGGGTGAAGAGTCACTAAATTCGTTTATACTTACTGTGATGAACATTGGAAGTCACTTCTTTATATATTTCCTTTATTTTTTTTTCTTGCACTTTTTACTCCTTCTATTCTCTTTTCTTTAAGTTTAGTTTGTATTAGTTTTTATTATTATAATCAACATTCTTAATAAAAATTATATATTCATTCATTAACATCAGGGAGACTCTTAAATCAGAGCCTTCTTTCAAGCCTGAAATGTCCATCTCCTTTAATGAATAGGAGAGGGAAGCTGTTCTTGCTCCGGGCCCAAAGTATGTCTTCCAGATCGCAGCCTGCCAGAGTATTTATGTTAATCGCATTCCATTTAAAATGACATTTCATCAAATTTAGTTTTTGTCCTAGTCTGACTCAGTGTGCGGCCGCCCCCTGGCATGCCATTTAAAGACCATTTATGGCCTTCAACCCACACATAATTGTGTATCCAGATCTGCACAGAGTTCGAATATTTCTCATAGTTAAAAGTCTCTGATTGAAAGCCATTTAGGGTCAGCATTAGTACAGTGGCGATGCTGTGGAGGACAGCCGTTGTGTGGGATAAGAAAGGCAAAAACCCCCCACAGCTTTCTGTGTCTGAATTCAAACTCTGGGACCGAAAATCCCCAGCAAAGCTAAAACATTAGAATAAATATGGAAGATGTCAACTGATACGTCTACAAGGACAAGAGAGCTAGAGATTGAAATGCTCCAATTACTTCCACATGTTTAACTTTTATTGTATTTCCAAGAAAAAGGCTGCACTTCCTCAACTGTAGAGCATTGGCTGGGTTCACCCACATGTTTATCTCTGTATAAGTGTTGAGCAGTGAGCACTGTGCTTCCGCCTTGGGCTTTGTTTCAGGGAGGGTTTTTTGCCAGTATTCTGTAAATAAGCTTCCTTTCGGTCTTTGCTCTTGAGTTGGTATAAGAAGGCCCCTAAAGGAAATTGGTTTCAGTTTGGGCTGCATTAGCTTCCTCCTAATGGCGTGGTCCCATCTGGCAGGTGCTGAAATATGACAGAGCTGCAGAGCCTAGTTGAGAGGCTGGAGAAAGCTGTGGGACGACTGGAGATGGCATCTTGTGGTCCTGGCGTGCACGGTGGCCATGGGGACAGTGCCCCGAAAGGTAAGCTTTCTGTGCCAGGTGATATCCTTTGATATTCCAGGAGGGTGAGCATATTTGGGCAGCCTGCACATCTGGCTCTTTCTGCGTGAACCAGATTGGCAGTTCACTTTCCCTTCCTCACACATCTGGTTTTGCCAGCCCTAGATCAAAAATGTAGAATAGCGCAACGGAGCTGTCAGATATGGTTGTTGTTATTTTTGCCTTTGGGGTGTAGTTGCCTCCTTTTTATGTACACAGTGGAACAGCCTGCTGCCAATGTCAGAATTTTTGTTCTTTGATTTCCCCCCCCCTTTATTTAAAAATGGGAAGCCAACATGCTGCAAAATGTCAGCACCCAGCATCTGCATTCAGTTCCAAACTATGATAAATTGAACCAGTAGGAGGCATCTGAGGCAGCCAGAAGGGGAGGAATAAACTATTTCTTCGGCATTGGCCGTGCCCACATGGCAGCTATGACCTGCCCTCAGAAATCCTGTGAAAGGGTGTGTTCTCCAACCACAGGGCTAGAAATGCTGGTGGACTGTAGCCTCATCACCCTTGGAGGGCACAAAGTTTAGGAAAGAAAATGTACGTTTTGGGAGCAGAAGTAGTTGGAAAGGAGAGCAAATTTGCTTACTAGGGCTGAGCAGGGCTTTGGAGTCAATCTCCGAAAGATCATTGGCAGCGCCACCGTGGTGCCTTTGTAGCACCTTAAAGCCAGCTGCAATTTTCCCAGGATCACACGCATGAACCCGGGAAAGACACCCCTGCTTTAAGACATTGCAAGATGTTGCCAAGTTTATGCATTGAAGCGCCTTTTGGAGATTATATTTGTGGCGCTAATACAGCCCAAATGCTCACTGCATGGTGGATTTACAGCTGCCCCAGACCTAATCCACGAGCCCCATAGTTCTCATCTGCTTCTTTTCCTTCTGCAGGTGTCGCTGAGTATGTGCAAATTTTTGATGAGCTCTTGGCAGGTCCAGTGGCTGCGTACATGAAGATCAGCAGAGAAATTGGCAGTGAAGTCCAAAAACATGTATGATTCATGCTTCCTTCCTGTTTCCTATTCTGAGAGGACATAAATACGTTGCCCCTAATTTCTTTGGCAGGCAGTCAACTGAGGCTAATGGGCTTTTTGCCCAGAAAACTGAGGTGGTATGACCAAGCTAACACAATAAATGGTGAATGGAGGCCATGTAGACTCCATTCATACACTTTGTGGGCTTTTTGGCAGTAATTCAATGGTCCTCAAAAATCTGTGTGGCCAGAGACTGCAAGAGGGGAGAAGAAATGTTTAGATTCTGAAGACTGCAGTAATTTTGGCTTGCTACCTTCAAATCTCCATAGAATAGAAAATTCAATTTTTCAGAAAACGAGCTTGATTTAAAAATAGGAACTTGGCCTGTATGATTTTTTTTCATGGGGTATCGCTTTTGTGCGTATGGATGCTGTGTCCTCCCCTTGAATCACTGGCTGCCGTGTTTCCTAGGCCTCTTGAACTGCTGCAGCGTTGGTAGGTGTGATCCTGCATCTGCAGAAGGGGAGCGGGGATGGGGTGCAAGTGATGAAACGTGCATTCTGCTGGGGGGCATCACCGCACACACATGCGAGGGTAGACGGACCCTTTCATTTTGTTACTTTAGCGACCCTGTGGCTGGCTGCAGGCACCGCTGGTTATAAGCCTTTTACACAGTAAATCTCACAGACTGTATTTGGAGTGCTTCGCAGGAGTTCCTACAGCAGCCCTGTAAAATAGGCTATTGCCGTCTATTGGGTTTAAGTGGGGCAAGGAGCCCTGAGACGACTCAGAGGATTTTTTCCTGAAGTGTGAATTCCCTTCCTTTCTACAGTTCTCCCGATATATTACACCAGCACTGACCTATTTCTAAAATATCACTACCCAGTAAGTTGAGAGAGAGAGAGGATAAAATAGCATTTGTACTTATAACGGCTGTGAAAAATGTTGGAAGCTACTTCTTCATATCTTTCTCGTTTTTCTACTTCCTTCTGTTTTATTACTGCACTTTTAACTTTTCCTGTTATTTCCCTCTTTCCGGCTTTTTCTCCTTTAATTTAGTTTATATCCTTAAGATTCTTAATAAAAGCTGTATAAAAGTGAAATAAAATATCTCCACCCAGGCTTTATGAAGAATTGCAGAGAATACTGTATTAGCTTTCAGTAGAAGAGAATATGGGTTTGAACTGTGGAGTTCAGCAGCAGCACCAGCCTTACTTGCCTAGCTGGGCAACGAAACGTCTGCAAGCAAACGAGCTCTGCGAGCACCAAGAACTTTACAACATATTAGCCTTTTTAAAATGCTTTTTATTATAGAGTTTTACAATACTAAAAGATAATGCAAACTGAGATCAAAAATAAAAAGAAAGAAGAATACAAATTGCAGAAAAGAGAAAAGAAAAGAAAAGGAGGGAAATAGGGGGGAAAAAGAATATTTAAAGCACCTTCCAATCTTCCTTGCAACAAGTACAGCAAATTAATAGTTCCCCGCCCCCTATGAAATTACATACATGGTCACAATATATATTAGCTGTTAAATCATCTTGCTGCCACTTTTTCTCTTGCAAGGCCCATCTTCCTCTCCTCTCCTTCCCTAGTAAGTCTTCAAGCCCTTATTAATATGCATATCAAATCTTGGCCACATGCTGGTTTGCCCTATGCTGAGTGGGCCCTGCTAGCTCTCGTTGCAACTTGGAGCTCCATTTTATGTTCATGAAGTTTGTATCTTGGAAATTTACATTAAAAAGAACAGCAAGGAAATGAATTCACTGGGAATTTGCATTGGCAAATAGGTACCGTTTGTTTGTGGATTTTTGACTGGAGAAAGATCCACGCTAGCAAGATCTGTTCAGTACTGCTGTTCGTTCCTTGGGAGGGGTCTGTTTTGACAAGCCTGATATCAGTCGCATAAAAATCCTAAAAGAATGTTAATATTGCAGAGCTAGAAAAGGAACCTGGAATAGCTCCTCATTGAAGTTACAGTTTCATTTTTTTTTCTTTTAGCTTAGGAAGAAACAAGCATGTCTGGTGTGGTGTCAGTGGAATTTAACCCTATCAGGAATGAGTCTTTCATACAGGCTTCCAAAGTTCATGAAAGTCCTGTTGAACCTACACTGAAATTGTACATCTTTCACAGCATTTCAAGGCCTTTGGCTTTGACTTGTATTAAGTCACTGTAAACTTTCACAAGTTCTCCCTGAGGAGTTGGTTCCTGATAGCTGTGGAGGGTATTGTTTTAGTGTTATTTTTGTTGTTGTTGTTTCATTGTTGTAAACTACCTTTGTTGAATGAAAAACAGTATGCAGATGTAATAAACAATGTATATAGCCTGTCTTCCTTTGATACAGCCAATGATCCTTGGAACTGTATTTTGCTAACCTAATTCCATTGCTGCCAATTCATACAGTGGTCTCTTTCTCCCCCTCTTTAAGGCTGAGATGGTCCATGTTGGGTTGATGACAGAGAGAGCTCTCCTGGTGACTGCGTCTCAGTGCCAGCAGCCCATAGCAGTAAGTGGAGAGAAACCTTTAGGACTATAGCAGTGGAACATGTGTGAAACTGGTTAAAGAACTGGATTCTTTTCTCTCAAGGATATTTGCATATGAACATGGAATCTTCCGAGCAAAGCCATCTTTGAAATAAATACCTTTTCCCAAAAGCCAGCGTTCTGAAAAACCCTAAGCATAACTCACTAAATGGTCGTATTAGGTGCGATGGGATGGATTAGCAAGTTGATAATGCTTGTTTTGATATATTTCTCTGACCAGAACAGCAATTTTGCTTGTTAGACCTCAAGATCTAGTTTAAGAAATACATCAGAACACAACCAGCTCCCAAAATTGTCTCATTTGAGACCATTGTATACCATCAGGATGGTCATATTGACTTTTTTAGACTGCCCTGAAAGCTTCCAAGGTAGACTTCATTAAAAGCTAGACCTAAGAGTTCTTTCCCTCAAAACAACCTATCCCCATTGTTTTCATGTGAGTTGTTGTTCCTGGCGTACTTTCTGATTAGAGGGAGGTTAGCCCAGAGTACTAGATCATGAGGAGTTGTAGTGAGTTGCCTTTTTAAAAGATTCTATCACCTTTGAGCATTGAACGTCTCTCCCAGCACACGCTGTGTGCACAGGAAAGGCTACCCACAAACAGATGAAGCTGATTGGAAGGAAACATCTAAATCATAGATCAGTGTTTCTCAATCTCAGCAACTTTAAGATGTGTGGACTTCAACTCCCAGCATGCTAGCTGGAGAATTCTGGGAGTTGCTGGGGTTGGGATACACTGCCATAGAGCATTCAGAAAGCAATGAGAAGCCACTCCTTTGCATTCCTGTTCTATAACCTGCCAGCATGTTCTACCTTGCGCAGTACCAGAAAAAGTCAGAACCAACTAAAACCCAGTCATTGCAGTTTGTACACCTTGATTTATGGCTTAGTACAATCAGTGAACCTAGCAGTTCTTTAGTCAAAGGACTGTTATTAAAACAAACCAGGAGTTAGCATGATGGTGAATCTAGACACTGTGGGTCAACAAACCATGGCTCAGTGTGATGTGTAAAGTGGCCCTTGTGTAGTTACAGGGTGGAAGATAGATGGGAAGAGAACTATATGCCATTCCAAAAAGCAGAATAAAAATGTATATAGATGCTTTCTATCCACATGCTTAATGCTGGGGCATAAGAATAGTAGCATCAGCAGGAATATTGATCAAGGAGGATCCACGGCAGCAAGAGGATTTTGGTGCATAAATAATTCACCTCTTAGTTTCCATCATTTTGCAATTTCAGAGTAACTTCTCAGTCTTGTTGAAGCCAATATCAGATCAGATCCAGGTGGTCCAGAACTTCAGAGAGAAGAACCGTGGCAGCAAATTCTTCAACCATCTCTCGACAGTTAGTGAAAGCATACCTGCGCTAGGCTGGGTCGCCATGGTAAGGATTTGGGAACCAAAACTTCTCCATTCGAAGTTGCTCCGAGTTTCTGTTTCTAAAAGGATGAACGCAGATAGCAACCTCTAAAAGATTATCATTCAGATCAGCATTGCCCAGTCTTTGATGCTGATGGAGGAGAGATATAATACATCTCTTAAGAAGAATGTTTCTGTATCTGTTCTGACTCTGCAATCAGTTTTACTTCATTGCTTCCTCTGTCACCTTTGGCGTGCAGAGCTCATAATTCCTCTTCCTACACACCGTGCAGGCTGGTCCAAAACTCAAGTTACTTGTTTTTTTATTTTCAGCTAAAATTTCCAAGCATGTAGCAAAATTTTACTCAATCCTTATTGCTACTAGAAGGGCCTGAGTTAATTTTTGTGCTGGTTAAGGGTGCTGAATTTTCATATCTATCATGGTTTTTATTCTATTTTACTCTATTTTTATATAGAGCTGTTGGAATATTATCCCTATTCTCCTGTAAACTGCTTCTTGTGCACTGTTTTTTTGGTCTCTGTCTGTAAATTAGTTAAATTAAAACAGTTGGTTTTTAAAAATGAGGTTGCCTTGGTTATCCTGCTGAGATGAAAGGCTTATGTGCTGTTTTCTTTTCTCTTCTTGTAGGCCCCCAAGCCCGGCCCTTACGTGAAAGAAATGACTGATGCCGCCATGTTTTATAGCAATCGGGTCCTCAAAGAATATAAAGATGTGTATGTTTTCTCTCAGAAGGCCGCAAGTAGCCTTTGTTTCTCAGGGGAACTGACTCTGGATGCATTGTCACTTAATTAAAAAGCAGCGTGCCCCATATCCTCTAAACTCTTATCTGAAGTTTTACTGGTTGATCTCTTGGGGGGTAGGATTAGATTATCAATAACCCAGCTGCAAGCAAGCAGGTTACAGCTACAGAACAAAGGCAAGATTTGTGAATAGAACCTCCTTGGATGGAATTTCATATCCTGCAAGGGGAGTGTTGATATCTTACTAAGTTTCATAAGCTGGGCATTTTAAAATCCAGCTAGCTAAGGTAGCCTGTAGTTGGAATGAGGAAAACAGGAAAAAAAATTCTAAGAAAGTTGCATGGCAAAAATGAAACTCCATGTATGAAAGCATATGGGGGTGCACACAGGGGGGGGAGAAATTAGGAGATCACCTTGATATTGAGTATTGAAGGTTAGGTTGCTTCCCCTGCCCAAAAAACTCTGAGAAGTCACTTTGTCCAAGCAGTTCTATCTGAAAAAAAGGGGCAGTGAACTAGGACTCCCCTCATAAGCAGGATTTCAAATGGTGCAGCCCATTTAGTCTGTCTGGGTCTTCTTTCTCTAGCGATAAGAAGCACGTGGAGTGGGTGAAAGCTTATCTCAGCATCTGGACTGAGCTGCAGGCATACATCAAGCAGTATCACACCACTGGACTCACCTGGAGCAAAACGGTGAGTGCAGCCTGCCCATCCATATTCCAGGTGCCTTAGTTCTCCTTGGGATATTTTTACTTGTCTGCTCAGCAGACACAATAACTGGATGTTCTGTTTCCCCCATCCTCCCAGGGACCTCTGCCAACCGATGCAGCAAATGGATCTCGGCGTCCTCCTGGTGGTGCCCTGCCACCCCCTCCCCCTGGCCCGCCTCCCCCCACAATTCCTGCCCGCACAGATTCTGGTTCAGATGCCTCTGCCTCCCGCTCAGCACTCTTTGCTGAGATCAACCAGGGAGAAGCCATCACTTCTGGTAGGCGGATCAGTTAATCCAACAGTGAGTGGGCTAGCTGTGATTCTGTAAGCTAGCTTACTTGGCTGTGCCTTTTTTTTAAACTTAAAAAAGTGTCCTGGATGGAATTGTTCTTCAGTCTTCTGTGTAGGGGAATTGGTGCAGGGGATGAGAGGTTCTGCAGCGTGCTGTTTTAGCTGCATTCCACAACCCAGTTTGGCTTGCTTAACAGGTTGCGAAATGCCACAAATGTTAATTCTCTTATGTGGACAGATGGTTGGTGGGGCTAAAGATAGAACTGTGTTTAGAACCGAAAGCAAATTAATATCTTTTGAACAGTAGCTTGGCCTCAGAATTGCGCTGAACTGAGGACTAGAAAGATATTCTGGGAGCAGGTAAAGTTGAGATTTAAGAGTCTGCACTTGTGCAGCCTTTCCAGGAAATAATGAAACTAGAGAGTTGCATTTCCCAAATCTGCAGCCATGGTAACATGGCCAATAGAAATAATGTTGAACCGTAGCTCACATCTTTGGTATTCTGCACCTTAGAACATGTTTTTTTTTTAATTCCTTTTTCTTGCCTTAAGCAGAGCTAATTAAACTCGGAGTGCTGTGAGGTTCCCGTGAGTAGGGCACCTCTACAAGCATACTTGTGACCCTGCAAAGCCCAGTAGCTTTAAATTCCAGAAGTCGTCCTCCAAATGCATCTGCAGAGCGAGAGATCGGGGAGAGTTATAGAGAACGCCTCCTGGCTTGGAATTACAGCTTTTTTTGCCACCTGCATGCCATTGGAACACTTCCTGTCTTTTTCCGGGAGGCATCTTCTCCAAAATTGCTTGAATACATTTTTTGCAGCACATCAATTCTGGGATGGAGGTGGGAGACGTTCCCTTGGATCATACATCCCTTGGATCATAGGTGCTTCATTTTTCCCATATATTGAAGAAAGGACCCCATGTTAAGAACATTATCCTTGCCAGAGCTCAGTGAACAGGCAGAGAGTGATTTAGATATAAGGCCAACTGTTCGGTCAAACGTTTAGGTTCACAACACACTGTAACACATTATGGGTTAGTGCTGTGAGTGAACCCCACCAATGATGATTTCACATCCTAGGCTTGAAACATGTGTCTGATGAGATGAAGACCCACAAAAACCCATCGCTGAAAAGCCAAGGGGGCCCTGTGCGGACGGGGCCCAAACCCTTCACGGCTCCAAAGCCTGCCTGTGCAGCAAATGTTTCCCCCAAATTGCCAGCAAAGAAGGAGCCTGCTGTGCTGGAGTTAGAAGGCAAGAAATGGAGAGTGGTGAGTGTGCAGCGTTTCACACTTGTGTCCTTTAGAGTTTGTGTCCCTTAAGGCAGTGTCCTCAACCTTGGCAACTTTATGATGGGTGGACTTCAACTCCCAGAATTCCCCAGCCAGCGCTGGCTGGGGAATTCTGGGAGTTGAAGTCCACCCATCATAAAGTTGCCAAGGTTGACGACACTGCCTTAAGGGACACAAACTCTAAAGGACACAAGTGTGAAACGCTGCACACTCACCACTTTCCATTTCTTGCCTACTAACTCCAGCACAGAAGGCTCCTTATATGCTGGCACTTTGGGGGGAACATTTGCTGCACAGGCAGGCTTTGGAGCCGTGAGAGTTGAAGTCCACCCATCATAAAGTTGCCAAGGTTGAGGAACACTGCCTAAGGGGTGGTTCTTTCCCAGAGAGCCTCCCCAGTTTAAAAGAATTCTCAGGCAGGAGTCTGGGAAATAGTTTTGCTTGCATGAGAGCCAGATTGTGTAGGTGCAAAAAAGCATATGTCGCCTTGAGGTGGTGCATCATCTGTTTTCAAGTCCTTGGCCTTCAAGAGGCATGTTGGGTGGGGCAGCCCCCTCCCTCAAAGTAGGAGGTAGAGCCAGGACAAAACCTCAGTTTCATTTACCTGGAAATGTAACTAAAATTAAATATTGATAAAATTACTCTGCTCCTGGTTTGTTGTTTTCCCCTTTTGCCCCATTAGTAACTGCTGTGAGAAAGAGTTGGGCTCCAGGCTCTGTGCCTCTGTCTGAGAGGCTTACCGTCTGCAATTCGGATAAGAACTTCTAGCCTGATACCCAGTTAATCTAGCGTATGGGGGATCCTCCCCACAAGCCTGTGAGTGGATTCTTGGTGAAATTCTTCATGGTTTCTGCTGCTCCTGGTTGCATCTAGGGAGGGGGAGGAACCAGAATAACGACAACTGCTCCTTCCTCTTCAGGAGAACCAAGAGAATGCCTCCAACTTGGTGATCAGCGACACAGAGTTGAAGCAGGTGGCCTATGTCTACAAGTGTGTGAATAGTACACTCCATATCAAAGGCAAGATCAACTCCATCACACTGGGTAAATTCACACCTCTTCTTTGGGATAGGCTTTTTAAAAAATGGGTGAGCCTAGTCCTAAGCCATGGTTTACTTAACTGTGGTTTGTTCTCTATAGGTGGCTCATCTGTCACCCTCCTGATGTTGCTGAACAATTCTGAACGTCCTGAGCTAAATAGCCCAGAGTGAGCAGTGCTGAGTGTTCTGCTGAGTGTTCCAATATAGATAATTGTTAAATAAATCACAATTGTGGTTGGCATTGCACAGCAGCTGACCCAAAATGAAACAGCCCGCATTGTGATTTTGTGTGTTTAGTGAAGAGGCCAAAAGTTTTTGAAGGAGGAAACATAAAATACAAGGGTTTTTTTTCTGGGAGAAATGGTTCAGGGACACCAGGTTGTAGCACTGGTAGGGACTAATCTGGAGGGATCTAAAGTGTTGGAGGAAGCCCCCCAAATGAGAAATCCAGCAAAGGGAGCAGAGAAGTTCCAAAACGATGCTTCATGTAAAAACATTAATTCTCCAAAAGAGCCAAGCAAGCATGTGTCCAGTTGCAGTCATCCTGTTATTAAACTATAGTGTTCATTTAAGAGGACATTATTGTCCATCTATCAAAACAGGGCTGACAGCTTTACTTGCAGCTTCAGAAATACCTGGCCGCCTCACTGTTCGCTGGTAAATCTTGGCTTTGATGTCTAGAATAAAAATGTGCAAGAAGGGAGAATGCAGCAGAAGCATCTTGAGATGTGTTATCTGTGATTAGCACTTTATTAGCTCCATTCCCCCACTACCATGCTTAATTTGGTTATTGAATTAACCTGTTTTCTGAATTTGCACAGTACTTAGCTGACCCAACAGCCTGGGTTCATACACTGCATAAATCCCCCACCCCCACCCCCATAAAACCCCTAAGGTTCATTTTCAGCTTTCTGTGAAATCACTGAACTGAGGGTGATGTGGTGGAGTTAGATACTTCTAAGATACATTGGACAGGAAACAGAATTTCTAGGACAAATGACTTGGAAGTCTGAGCTCTCTGGAAACAGGATAGAAAACAAAATCATTGTTAAACTCTGAAACCACTTTGGCTCCACGTAGTGGTTGCTTTGGGACTGCTTCACACATTCCAGAATTCCTGTATAGGCTTCTGTGATGAAATTAACTCCTATAGATAGGTTTCAGATATATAGTGTACTGATTTTATAAGAGACATCTAGATGGCAGCGGCTAGGTTTAGATGATGATGATGATGATGATTTATTGATTAGCCATTAGGCCATAGCAGCATCTAGGTAATTTCAGGAAATCCCAAGATTGCAGGCTAGGCCATGAAGGCAAAAGCACTCTGGAAGAAGGTAAAGGCAGACCACTTCCGTGTTGCTGCCAAGAGACTAGAAGGATTTGTTCGTGAAGTCACTAGGAGTTGAGCCTGACTCTAGGGAGACTTCCTTACTCAAATCTACCCATGTGCCAAATGTTGTGGTGATGTTTTTGGATTTCTTTCCCTTGCATTTCAGGATTGTGGGGGAAGCTTTTATGTGGGATTGCCCAGGATCAGTCAGTGAACGAATGACAGGTCTTAGCCACATTGAGGTTTATTTTCTTAAAGGAAACACTGTGCTAGTCCCATTTCTCTCTCTCTCGCTCGCTCTCTCTTGCAGATAACTGTAAGAAACTTGGGCTGGTATTTGATGATGTGGTGGGCATTGTTGAGGTCATCAACAGCCGAAGTGTTCAACTTCAGGTAATGGCACGTGTCCGTGGTTCCTCTCAGCTTGATAATAACTTTCTCCTACCACGTGTCTCAAAGACATCTGGTAGGTGCCCGTGTTGTTAGATATGTAAGGCACACCCTCTCCCTTGAGATCCAACAGCGCCCCCCCCCTTTTAACCTTCCAGAAAGCGCTCAAGACTTTGCTCTTCCCCCAGGTGCTGGGATAGGGTGAAGTCAGAGCAGGATGAGAGCGTGGTAGGTTGCATGTGCCAGGTTTTTCTGTTTTGGGTTTTATTGCTTTTTATTTTTATAACTCTATCATTTTTATTGCTGGGTGGTAAACTGCCCAGTGTTTGGTTTAAGATGGGCAGCTATACAAATGTTTTAAACAAACAAACATGAGCTACATGCCAGTCGTCCACATGAAACATGCAGAATTGCAGAACAGAGCAATCAGTGTGTAAAATCAGTATCAAAAGCATAAGTGGCAGCTATAAGGCCAGGTTAATAAAATCTGTGTTACAACCTAGCGTAGAACCAGCTGATGGAGGCGGGCACCAGGCAGGCCTCTCTTGAGTGTGCCACCTGTCCTTCAAGAAGAAAGGGACCAAACAGTGCATCTCGAGAGAGAAAATGTTTGCACTTTTCCCTGTGGAGGCCAGTGCTTTGAATGGCTTTCTGGTTTCAGAGCTTGAAGGATAAGACTATATCCACTGCTGGTTTCTAGTTTAGCTCTATAGTTCTTTACTCATTTTTAACTTGCCTTCCATTAAAAGTAATTCCGAAACACACGCTCTGCAAAGTTTTGAAAGAAAGTACACTCTCCAGTGCATTAATGTAGCTTTTCCCAACTTGGCATCCTTGGCCATGTTGACTGGGGATGAAAATGTTGTAGCCCACCTTCCTGCCCTTCTTTTCTATCTTAGATTTAGGGAAGGGGTAGTCCATCTGCAACCCTTAGCCAAATTTCAGCAGTCCTTTAGGAATCTGTATGTCCCTTCTTGAGAGAGCGTAAAGAGGGGTTTCAGAAGGAGAAGAGAATCATCAACTTCTGGCTTTGGACTTGTTCCTCCTGCTGCTTGCTTTAGCCCTGTCCACCGTGCAGCTTGTAAATGAGCCATGAGGGAAATGTGATTTCAACAGGAAAAAACATTGCCCAGTCTTAGCTTGGGAAATGGAGCCTTTAGTGGTTTCTCACCATGGTCTTTTCTACTAGGTGATGGGTAAAGTGCCAACCATTTCCATCAACAAGACAGACGGTTGTCAAGTCTACTTGAGCAAGAGCTCCCTAAACTGCGAGATTGTTAGTGCCAAGTCCTCAGAGATGAACGTGCTTGTTCCAACGGACAACGGTGACTTTGTGAGTTCTTTTCGGTATTACTTGGGGGGGGAGTCAGTGAGGCTGAAAAGGGGGAGTTTCTCATAATTAAAAACTCCTGTCTCTCGTGGAAAGAGATCATGGTTTCAGAGAATTTCATTGCTGAGCAGGTGTTACCCGTTCTTTAAAGAGAAGCAGGCTTTCACTGGCAAAGGCCAATGCCCTCAGCTGTAGTCATGCAACACACTTAACCTGGTTAGTTAGTCCATTTTCTGAATCTGTAAACAGAGTGAACCATAAACGAGCCAAAGTTTGTGGATTTAGGTTCACACAGCAGCTGCCAAAAATAAAAGTGAGGTGAGTATATCGTGCGAACACTCCTGCTAGATCAGTGTTTCTCAACCTTAACAACTCTAAGATGTGTGGACTTCAACTCCCAGAATTCCCCCGCCAGATTCTGGGAGTTGAAGTCCACACATCTTAGAGTTGCTAAGGTTGAGAAACACTGTGCTAGATTAATAACTGACCTGTTAAGACATACAGCATGGACCCAGCCAGAGATGGAAATTAAGAAAAACCAAAACTTCAGGTGGTTTATGTAGCCATCCTCAAAATGTGTTGGGATTGTAAAGTCTAAGAACTTCCAGCCAGAAATGGCACAGCTGGAACGTGTCAGATGGAGGAAGGCTGGCATGAAGGGTATTCAAATCTTTAGAGACTTGGGGATGTAGAAGGTGCTGTGCCAGTAAGTTTCTTTGTAGCTTTATCATTCACTCACTGATCTCCAGATTAATACCATTGATAGCTGGAGAAAATTCCTGTGTTCCCTAGCAGCGTGTCACCGAATACTACTAATGGGGGAAGAAAACTAGTGTGTTGTGCTTCCCCCAAACATCGGGCTGCCCAGCTGCTCATCCACTGTGGGAAGCAGAATATAAACTGGATTAGGAATCTTGCAAAATTATTAGAGGCGTGACCCATGGGGGCTGTGCCTGGGGACAGAGGCGCCCTCAGCACCAGAGATGTCGGTCTTACACATCAGCCAGCATTGACTTGTATGTTTGGTTTCCCCAGAACGAATTCCCTATCCCTGAACAATTCAAGACGCAGTGGAACGGGCAGAAGTTGGTCACCACGGTGACAGAAATCGCCGGATAAGATGGCCTGGTGCTCCACGACCTCCCCTCTCTCTACCATCACTGTGGGACAAAAACGCTTTCTGGGGGCTGCCTTTTAGATTCCCTGTCCCATTTTTCAACTCTCAGTCTGCTTCTGTCTTCTGAAAGACTTGCCTCCCTTCCTTCACTGAAAATACCTCAGGCTGGGATTTGGGGGAGGTTGGCAGGTTCATTCCATTCTTTCTCTTGACTGGCAGGAAGGTGTGGCATTCACCCCTTGGTCAGGCAAAACCTGTATTGTCCAATCCATATAGATGTCAAATGGGCATCAAGGAGTTTTGTTCCTTGCCTTCACTTAAATGCAGAACGTTGTCTGAGGGAGGGGAGTTTCTACCAGGATATGGTACCCCTCCCATGATAGATGTATGAAGTATGCTTGACAGGTGTAATTTGGGGAAGTCCAAGGGAGTTAATTCTGCTCAACGAATCTCACCAAGAGATGCTGAGAATAGCTTTGCTGGACCAAAGGCTGAAAACTGGGATGTGTAACATTCCTTCTCCCCTGACTATTTCCCCCTCCCTGTGTTGTCCGTGTAAATTCTGTGTTGTGCCATGATGTTGGGGGGAAACTGCCCAGATACAGGTGCCACGCAATTCCCATGGAACGGATCCTCCTTTCTGGGAATCTGTCCAGCAGTAGGAAGCTGCCCTCAACCGCTTCCATTCAAGCCCTCTTACAAAGGGAAAGTTGTGCCGAGAAGGCCTCTTTTGAACAACTGAACATTGTTCAGTCTTCCAGGACGGTTTTTCCCAGGACCCATATCTTTTTTTCCCCCAGGGCAGGATTGATTCTCCATCCCAAGAGGAGTATTTAATTACTCGTAAGCACAATTCCATGGTGTTTCGGTTCTATTGCTCACTGGCGCGTATTAGCCCCATAGCGCTTGGGCAACCCCCCTCTTCTTTAGCTAGCTGTCCCCTCCCCGCGGCTTCTCTGCAGAAAGTCTTGTGTCACCCAGCACGCTGGTGATTGTGCCCAGGCTGAAGGCATGGTACTGTAACGGCCCACTAAAGGGAGCTGCCTGTTTAATTGTAGCAATGCAGATGATCTCTTTCCCTTTTTGCCACATTTTTGAGTTTTCCACTTGAAAATTAACAGAAGATATGCAACTCTTTATTTTGAAACTGTCCTGTGACTTGTACTTCTCTCCTGAGGCTTGTGGAAATAAAAATCTTTCTTATGTACTTAAAATTATACTGAAGATAGAATAAAGTTAATGCCAAGTTGCCCATAAAGTCTGGTCCTTACTAAGCTCACGGCAGCTGTCTTTAGAGCGCCAGCTCATGCGCCTTTGTGGATTTTATCCTAACTCTTGCGAGAATACTTGGTCTCTCCTGCCTAAAGAATGTGGCCCTTGGAGGGCTTTAAAATATATGGGCTGGATCAACATAGCTTATTGAGGGTTGGTTTGTTTAAGTGCACAAGACACTAAGCCTGTTTAGCTTATGGCGTAATGCTCTGTGGAATTGCAGAAAGTACGACTGTCCAATCAAATAGCGCATGCAGAGGATGTGTCTGTAAGCCACTCCAGCCCTAAAGCTGTCACGACACGATTTAAATTAAAACTGGTTTATTGGACTGTGTCAAGTTGCAAAATACTCATCCTCTTGTAACCCAAAGAAAGCATGAATTCACATGATTTCATCATAACAGCATTCTCTTCCCTAAATTACTGTAGTTTAAATCTCCTGCCCTCACTTTTCGGAGATCTAATCAATGGCTTTTCTATTTGAGCTCCTCCCAGCATTGACAGCCATGCCTTCCTCCATGAAAGCTCACAGTTGTCACAGAAAGGTCTCAGTTATGGAAACACCTGGCCCCTCCACACCTCATTCTGAATGCAGCCCTGCTCAGACCTCTCATGCTGAAGGGCTGCGTTAAACATCTCCGTTCAGGGCAATTACACAACAGCAGTTGCAGTGCCTTTGGGTTTCTTTAGATTGGCACCTCAACAAAATCACAGAAGTGGTCTCCCTCCCTGCCGAACAGGACTTTATCACACACAGCTGAAGTAGGAATTTTAAGAATTGTGAATCCTTTCAATTGCATCCTCCCCAAACTCGGGTGACTGGCTCCTAACAGCATAAAAGCGCCATACTATCAAATGACAGCTGTTTAACGCCTGCAGCAGGCAGGTCCTAGAGACAAGGCTGGATTGATTTTTGAACAGGTAAAGTACTTGCAGTCGAATGTGATTAAATTGTTAATCTTGAAATGGAAAAGTAGCCTAGCAGGTTAGTGGAAACAGTCTGTCTTCAAGATAGCTCTTTAGGGAGCATATCCCAGCTTGCCATGAAAATCATCTCCAGCAACCAGACTCTACAAAAGAACAGCCTGGCTGTTGTCACCAGCATCATTGTAGAAATGGCACTATGTTCTTGAAGAACCACTCTTTGGAAAAGTGGAGATGGTCTCCTTCTGCCCCAAGGAACACCAGCTTCCCTGCTTGGTCCATTTCCTTCAGGCCCAAACGATCCTGAGAAAGGGAACACGCCAGTTAAACCAAGGAACTTTTAGTCTTGAAACTCAACAAAGACGATGGCTACGTTCACACCACAGCCTAGTCAACCACATTCTGCTGTAATTAGGGGGCAACTAGGACTTCTGAGTTAATTTAATTGAGCAATCCATAGGAAAGGAGATCATGCAGGACAGCCACTGTCCATGCTTTCTGGGGCTTCATCCAATAACAGCTTGAGGGGCTTGGCAGGTGGCAGCATCTAGCCAACCTTAAAAACCTAAGCCATGTCAGGCTTCATTACTACTTAAATGGGGGACCATAAGGACATCCCAGAGCTATAATGTAGACTGGGAAGTAGAAAAAAATTGAAAGAAGGCACTAGCAAAGCCTTTGATGCCAGGACAACCACAAGGACATGTCCATGCAGAGATTGAGAATCAAGCTTTACCAGGAGGAGTTTTTATCTATAAGTAAATAGGAGGATACCCTATTGGAGAAATCTGCTGTACAATGGTCAGAACTGGAAACTGGGGAGACTGGTTATGTGCCACCAAGGCAGTGTCAACTCTTTGCAACCACACAGATCTTATCCAGGACAATCTGTCCCCAACTTGGTTCTTCAGGTCTTCCAATGATATACTCATCACCACTAAAATCCACCCACCCTATTGCTGGTCATCTTTCCTCACACCTTTCCCAGCATTATGGACTTCTCAAAGGAGCTGCATATTTGCACTGATCGACTGTGCCATCAAGTCTCTGTCAACCCTCAGCAACCACACAGACCTTCTCCGTGACAATCTGTCTCTAACCTAGTCTTTCAGCACTTCCAATGGTGCATTCATCTCCACTGGAACTGAGTCCATCTACCTTGCTGCTGGTCATCCTTTTTTCTTTCCTTCCACTTTTCCCAGCATTACAGATTTCTCAAGAGGGCTAAGTATGGGGAGACCCACGTTCAAATATCTCTTTATCTCCGCCTTTTTCCAAAGCTGATGCTCCCAAGATCTGTTCAACTTCCCTGATCCTATTTTAAAAGTAAGAACTTACTTCGCACCATTGCAAATACTGATTTTTCTCTGGTGGCACCAGCTGGGCTCCACTAGTTACTGAACTAAACCCTACTAACCCCTCTTTTTAGGGCTGAATTGAACCATTAACTAACCAAATGGGCCATTGGATAACACACTTAGCCAACCCAAACCAAAGTTAAAAATACCTATGTTTAGCACACTGATATAGCCACAAAGTCCTTAACTGACCTGGTTAACCTTGTTGGGTGAACAAAACTGTAGAGGTCTTTCTGCCAAACCCAATGGTTTCCAATTCTGGGAGCAATTCCCAAAGTAATATTTATATAGACCTCCTTGCTTTGTTTTTAAATAATGTTCTGAACAGAAAAATTATGTTCTCTAGCATAATTCTGGCTGCAATGTCAGATGGGACACTTCAAGCTAAATTGAGTTTTCAATTCTTCATAGGAAAGACAGCAGCTCTTACCTCTGTGTACAGTGTGGTCTCTTGAAGAGGAATGATCTCCTTGGTCTGGCCGCTCCGGTAGTAACCAAACCACTTGGAAGGAAAGAACAAGAAGGCAATACATAAAAGTGTCTGTTGCGGTGATCAATTCCTGGAAACTGCTAAGGGCCAACCCTGTTTTTCTTATCCTAATGAGGACTTCTAGTGATTGGAGATGGATTCTCAAAAGTGGGACAGGGAGAAAAGGGATAAATCCACCCCACCCAAAAGGGAGACTTGCCAGAATGCCATTTCTGAGGATACCATGCTCAAAAATGGTGCCTTTTGGGGGGGAGGGGAGCAAAACCTACCCTTAGTCTTCACTGTTGCACACAAAGGCTCTATCCCATTTTGGTTTTTAGACATGCACACCTTTTTTAGCACTGCATCTCACCTCAGAGACAGGAGGGTCCACCATCGTGTCATTGAGGAACTGCACCATCACAAATTTTTTCAGAGTCATCAAGTTTTTCTTGTAAGTCTCATTGATGACCTGGAAAAGGCAGCAGCAGGGAGACCAAGATTGGCAGAGAAGGAGAAATTCCAGAACTGTGTCAGGCAAAAAACAATCAAGCCCTAGACTGAGACATCCCAATTTTACACCACAGCAGTATCGTGCTGCTATTGTTATTGTTTAATAACGGGCATAGGTATATATGTAAGGGTGGATTTAGGTATTTTATATTCCACTCTTCAAAGTTTCCAGAATGGCTTCTACTACAAAAAAAAAAAAAACACAATAGAAAGTTGTTATATTATATTGTTATTAGAATACAATATGGGGATGGGGATTTCCTAAGACACTGACCACACCCACACGTTTAGTTTCTTTAAAGCTGCTCTACATTGCATCTACATATGCCCTAGGATTAAAGTATATGCTTAATTCTGTTTCTGCTACTTGAATTTTCTTTCAAATACTTCCAACCCCGCACTTTTTCATGCAGGCGTCCCATAGTTCAGAGCAGTGTTTTTCAACCTTGGCAACTTCACGATACATGGACTTCACTTCCCAGAATTCCCTAGCCGGCATGGAGCATTTTGGGAGCATGGGGAATTCTGGGAGTTGAAGTCCACATATCTTAAAGTTGCCAAGGTTCAGAAACACCGGTTTAGAGTGCCTGCGTTTGCTCTTCTGCTAAGCTATGGTTTGCTCATTTACAATTTGAAAAAACCCAGCGGCTGGTTTCCCAGAACAGAAGCACTGTAACTCAATGCAAGGTGTGAATCCGTGTAGGCTAGCTGCGTTTTGCATTTGTCAGAGGGTCTGGATTGGCTTACCCGCTCCTGGTTGATGTCAGCCAAGAAAAGACTGCTTCTGCGGTATTCCTCCTCATTCACTGGATCATGCCAGTACTGGGCCTGGACCAGGCTGTGCCAAAGACAGAACAGTGCAAACCCCAAATCGTAAAGAACTCTGGAGCTGTCCCCATCCCACCCAGGCACGTCTACCCCAATGTATTTATTTATTTATTTGTCTGTGGGAAGACCAAACTCACCGCTGCTGAATCGCCTTTGTGTAAGCAATGTCTAGCATTTTTCTTAACCAGTCGCAGATACGTGAGCTCTCCCCAGGGCAGTGCGGGAACCCGAACACCCCTGCAGCAGGAAGAGAGACGTTTCGAATCTGCACGTGGCCCTAGCTTGTCAAGCAGGCCCAGAAGAAGTTTGAGGGGCCACTAGCTGACATTAATGCACATTTCCGGGGACATCCACAGCTGAAAAGTTGAACGGTGGAGATGAAGGAAAAGTTATCTTCCTAGCAAGTCACCTACACCCTCAGCACTTTGTGGGCGTTCCGGAAAGCCTTGAAGAGCTGGCTGTTCTCCCAGGCCTTGGCCTGAGGGGGTGAGGAGCGCTCTTGGATATGATGTGTGTGTGGGCGTTGTTGGCCGGATTCACCATCTTGTTTGTTTTTGCCTTTTCTTTGTTTTGGTATTTTTTACTTTGTCTTGTTTTATGGTGAGCTGCCCAAAGTCAGTCTGGAATCGGGAGGTGCCTAAATGGAAGTGAATTGGGGAACTGACTTTGTGCTTTACTGAAGCGCTCCCTGGAAGCTGCAGTTGGTACAGAACACAGCAGCCTGGTTACTGGTCAGTGAGAGCCACCAGGCTCCTATAACACCAGTACCATCAGCACTGTACTGGTTCCAATAGAAGAGGACATCTGCAGCTCAGGGCTGAACTGGGGAGTCCTTGGGGTTCTCTGAGTTTGGTTGTTTTCTTGCAGACGTTTCATTACTCGACTAGGTAACATCTGAAGATCTTACCTAGTTGGATAATGAGACATCTGCAAGAAAACAATCAAGCTCAGAGAATACCAAGGACTCCACCACTGTACTGGTTGCCCGTAGGCTTTCAAGTGTAATTCATGAGGCTGGTTTTAACCTATAAAGGCTTTTCAGGCTCGGCACTTGGCAGGGAGAACCAATTCATCTGGTGCATTTAATCCCAGAAAGGCACGTTAAACCGTCCTTGCCAAAAAAAATCAGGGAGGAGGAAAGAACATGGTTGTTTCTCATGTTATGCCCCCCCCTTTCATGGATCACTTTGCCTCCAGAGATCCAGATGGTGCCCTTCTTCGCTGTTTCAGAGGGCAGTCAAGACAGCTGTTTTGCAGCATGACTTATGTATGCTTTCTTTATGTTTCAATTCATATGGCTGCCCATCTCAAATTCATGAATTATGGTGAGATCCCTTAATGCCAGGATTGGTGTGATTTGGGGGCCGGGGGGGGAGATGTTTTTAATATTTTTCAGGCTCTTAAACCACCATGAATCTCTTAGAGTTGGCAGTCTAGAAGTATTGTAAATAAACAAATGAAGTCTCCTGGGGGATCACTCTATGAAATCGGGAAGGATGTTTCATTCTAAGGCATCTTTGTGATGACAATTTTAAACAGAAATCTTTATTATTTGCAGGATATCTAAAGTCTCCAAATAAGGGTGAAGGTGATTTGATACAGTATGGACATCTCCCTGGCATCAGGGAGGTGCATTTTTTCGATATCCCACCCCAGCAGTAGAACAGTTGAGGCAAGGTTAGCAAGGAATGGGTTGGGAGAGCCCCCAATTTTCCAGGTATGTAATATCTATCCAATGCTTTGCCCAACAAATATTTCTATTCCTTCCTATTGAGATTCAGCAGAAGATTGTGCTCCAATGATTTCATCATTGGTTTGCCACCAAATATCAGCAGTATAATCGGAGGGGGGGTGTTAATAAAACAGTAAATTCAGAGTCATATGTTGCCTGATTCTGTTCTAAACAAACAGGAGCTTGGAAATAGAACTATTTTACATAGATGGGAAAAAAATTAAATTCTTGCTGTAAAGCAGTGTTGTCCAAACTTGGCCACTTTAAGATGAGTGGACTTCAACTCCCA